TGTCGCTCTTGGATTTCCAGTAATAAAAAAAAAAAAAAAAAAAAAAAAAAAGAAAGAAAACAAAAAGAAAAAGAATTTATAAAGTACTACTGCGATCTCTGCGATCCGCGCAACTATTCACAAATTTGGTGTCGCGTATTGTGCCACCCGGGATCAGTTTGTTTTTCTTTTCTTTTTTTCAGTTGCGTTACAATACACGCCGCAGAATACCGGACTTGATCTGATTGTCGTTGAACCGGCTGTAAAGAAGCTCCGCAACGATGGCTAGTGTATCATATCAAATAGCAAACCTGCTGGAGAAGGTGATCAAGCATATAATATATAATAATAGCAATTAACAGAAAATCAAAATGTGATTCTATTATATCATTCGAACACACATCCGAAATGCAAATCACAATTTGCTTTGCTTTTGAGACACATAACCTCTTAGTATTTTTTTCTGAAGTTTACTAATTCAACGTAATCTCGTTTGCTGTAAAGTATGCGCTTATTTTAATAATTTTGCATCTTTCTTTTCTAATCGTACAGAAAATACAATGTTTTCTAAAATTTTTTTACATATACGTGATAATAACAAAAAGATCATTAGATGCATCTTAAGAGATATTGTCTCTCTTTGTTCATTTGACTTAAATTGCAAAGTAAAATTTCACAATTGTTATTTAAGTTTTCTTCGGCTTTATATTATAATCGTTAAATATTTAAATGAAAAGCATCGTTCAATATAAGTAGTGATAATATAACAAATTTATACGCTAAATCACGCAGTGATAAGAATATCGCATATGTATGTGAACTCTATACATACGAATACATATATACATATACATAAAATTAATAAATGTATATACATAAAATCTAAAGATTATCTGTAGCTTATAATATATACAGGAATTAATATTTAATCTATTTTCTTTTTGTTTATAATAGTTTATGATTTTTTTTAGATGACATCCAGCGATAAGGACTTTAGGTTTATGGCAACTAATGATTTGATGAGTGAATTACAAAAAGATAGTATAAAATTGGATGATGATTCTGAACGTAAAGTTGTAAAAATGCTACTCAAATTATTGGAGGACAAAAATGGAGAAGTACAGAATCTTGCTGTAAAATGGTAAATATTTTTGTTGAGATAAGGAAAACGTTATATTTAGGTTTTAGATTTGTAAATGTCTATTATATATTTTGTATGATTATAACTTTTTAGTTTGGGTCCGTTAGTAAATAAAGTAAAGGATTATCAAGTGGAAACAATTGTGGATGCTTTATGTAGTAACATGGTATCAGACAAGGAACAGTTACGAGATATCTCGAGCATTGGTTTGAAGACTGTTATTTCCGAGCTTCCTTTGGGTTGTAATGCACTAGTCGCTAATGTTTGTAGACGCATTACAGGAAAATTGAGCAGCGCTATTGAAAAGGTACGTTACATGTTTTTGAAGCGCAAAGTGTGTTACTCTTGCGACTATATAACAACAACAACAATAATAATACATCTTTATATGTAACACACTTTCAGCAAGAGGATGTATCCGTACAGCTTGAAGCTCTCGACATTGTGGCCGATTTATTGTGTCGATTCGGTGCTCTGTTAGTTACATTTCATTCTACAATTCTGACAGCATTATTGCCGCAGTTGTCCTCACCACGACAAGCGGTTCGAAAACGCACTATAGTAGCACTGAGTCACCTTCTGACATCCAGCAATAGTCAGTTATACAACCAATTACTGGATCATCTTCTCGAAGGTCTTCAAAAGCAAACATCAAAGAATATTATACGTACTTATATCCAGTGTATTGCTTCTATCTGGTTAGTAGCTGATGATTTTTTTGTCGTATCTAAATAATAAAGAAGACAAAGTATATTATTTATTTGAATTTGTTTTTATTTATTACAGCCGACAAGCGGGTCATAGATTTGGTGAACAAATAGAACGTGTTATGCCGCTAATCGTTCGATACAGTAACGAAGACGATGACGAATTGAGAGAATATTGTTTGCAAGCATTTGAATCTTTTGTTTATAGATGTCCGAAAGAAATTACACCACACATAAATAAAGTATAGAATTTGAGCATATATATATATATATATATTTGTTACTTCAAATATTTATTTTATACATAATATAAACATGAAATCTTTTTCTTATTTTTTAGATTATAGAGATTTGCTTAATATATATTACATACGATCCAAATTACAACTATGATGACGACAACAACGATTTTTCGGATGGAGAAGGTGTGGCAATGGAGGTGGAAGAAGACGGAGAAGAGGATGCCGAAGACGAGTATTCCGATGACGATGACATGAGTTGGAAAGTTCGCAGAGCAGCTGCAAAATGTCTAGAAGCTGTTGTATCTAGCAGAAGAGAGTTACTACCAGAACTGTATAAAGTAGTTTCACCTGCATTAATTGCCAGGTTTAAAGGTAAGTATATATATCCAAAAAAAGTTTATTTAGATCTAAAAACATAATTAAGTAAAACGTTCTGATAAAACTTTTTATATTTGCAGAAAGAGAAGAGAATGTTAAATCTGACATCTTCCATGCGTACATCGCTTTGCTGAGACAAACTAGACCAACTACTGGTGTGCCGCTCGATCCTGACGCAATGGAAGACGACGACGGACCTATTTCATTGCTACAACAACAAGTGCCGTTAATAGTAAAGGCGGTGCATCGTCAAATGAAGGAAAAAAGCATCAAGACGAGACAAGATTGTTTCTCTCTGCTGAAAGAATTGGTGCTCGTTTTACCTGGTGCTTTAACTAATCATATCCCAGCACTGATTCCTGGTATACAATATTCTTTAGGAGACAAGAACTCATCTTCCAACATGAAGATCGACACTTTAGCTTTTGTGCACACACTATTGGTTTCACATCAGCCAGAAGCGTTTCACGTTCACATGCCCGTTTTAGCACCTCCAATTATATTAGCTGTAGGAGATTCCTTCTACAAGATCGCCGCCGAAGCATTACTTGTATTGCAACAGCTTGTACAAGTTATCAGACCTCATGGTAAGCTCAATTCTATGTAATTTTTAAGTTTTTAAAAATTGTAAAATGTAAAAACCGTCTTTGTGATATTACAGACAAACCTTTCTATCGTGGCTTCACTTCGTTATCCAATGAAATATATCACTGCACTCTGATGAGGCTCAGAACGGCAGATATAGATCAGGAAGTAAAGGAAAGAGCCATTGCCTGCATGGGACAGATTCTTGCGCATTTTGGAGACACTCTGTCAGATAAATTGCATGTATGCCTACCTATCTTTCTGGACAGGTTGCGCAACGAGATAACTAGACTTACCACTGTCAAGGCTCTAACGTGTATAGCCTCGTCTCCGTTGAGAGTCGACTTAAAACCAATCATGGTAAAGTTTTTGAAACAGAGTTTTTTTTACTCGTTAAGGAATGTTGTGATTTTTCTCTGCAAGATATCATTTTTTTTCCTTGCAGGAAGAAGCAATACCTATTCTTGGATCTTTCTTAAGAAAAAATCAACGAGCTTTAAAACTTTCTTCCCTACCTCTGCTAGATACGTTGGTCTGCAATTATAGTTCAGCTTTGTATCCGGATCTTCTTGACAAAGTAATGGAACATTGCACACATTGATATATTTAACAACCGATGAGTTTTTCATTTACGTAATCAATTTTGATTTATTTGCGATCAGGTTACCATGGAGTTACCTGCGTTATTAAACGAATCAGACTTGCATATCGCACAGTTAACGCTGAATCTTCTCACTACTATTGCGAAATTGCATCCAGCTGCTTTAACCAGAGTTTCGGATCATATTCTACCAGAAATAATTGTATTGGTGAAATCGCCACTTCTTCAAGGTGGATTATTTTGTTTCGTTAAAAATTTCAATACGTCTACAACATTTATTCACATTGACTTTCCGTTAAACAGGTATTGCATTAAATTCGATGCTTGAGTTTTTCCAAGCTCTGGTTCAAGCGAATTTGCCTGGTCTTGGATATAACGAACTTCTCGACATGTTAGTACAACCGGTTAAGCAGTCTTCTTCACAACAAGTACTTCATAAACAAGCTTATCACTCTCTCGCCAAATGCGCTGCCGCACTGACAATTCCGTGGCCGCACGAAGCGCATTGTATCGTGCATCAGATGCTTCAGAACGATCTTCAAAATCCTACGGATCCCGCGCCACATATTTTCGCCTTATTAGTTATTGGAGAAATTGGAAGACACGTGTAAGACAACAAAAAATTTAATTTATTTATTTGTCACTTTTTAATTCTAAGAATGCGGCACTCATTGTTTAAGAAATTTATTATTTCCACAGAGACCTCAGTGGAATTAGTTCACTGAAACACACGATTATAAACTCATTTTCGTCACACTCGGAAGAGGTTAAATCCGCGGCCAGTTACACCTTGGGAAATATAGCGATTGGAAATCTTCCCGAATATCTGCCTTTTATACTTAACGAGATTGAGGCGCAACCAAAACGTCAATATTTGCTTTTGCATTCGTTGAAAGAGGTAAAAATCGATTTGAAACACATTGTAAAATTTATATAAATCTAAAATTTAGTTTTTAAAGTACTTTGCTTTCTTAAGATTATCACGAGTCAATCGGCCAGTCCATCCGGCGTGTCGCACTTGCAAAATTTCGTGCCTTCGATTTGGATGCTTTTGTATAGGCATTGCGAGTGCACGGAAGAAGGTACTCGTAATGTTGTGGCTGAGTGTCTCGGGAAGTTGACGCTGATAGATCCTGCCACTCTTTTGCCGAGATTACAAGAATCGCTCAAATCGTCATCCGCGCTCATGAGAACAACAACAGTTACAGCTGTTAAATTCACGATTTCCGATCAGGTATTTTACGATAACCGCAATAACAATGCATTACAAGTGTCTGATGACGCATTTAACGATTATATAAATTATTTATTGCAGCCACAACCAATCGATCCTATGTTGAAACAATGTATAGGTAACTTCTTGGTCGCTTTAGAGGATTCTGATCTTAACGTGCGGAGAGTAGCGTTGGTTGCATTTAATTCCGCAGCGCACAATAAACCTATGCTGATAAGAGATCTATTAGACGTAGTGTTGCCGCATCTTTACGCGGAAACCAAAATTAAGGTTAGCTGTATTTAAATCTGAATTAAACGGAGCCGAGTCTGAATCAGAATAAAATCGCACGTCCATATTGTCTATAGAGCTCTACAATAATATAATAAATGTTCGGCTTTATTCAGAAAGAGCTGATAAGGGAAGTTGAGATGGGTCCGTTCAAACACACAGTGGACGACGGATTAGATCTTCGTAAGGCTGCGTTTGAATGCATGTACACCTTGTTGGATTCGTGTCTCGACAGACTGGATGTTTTCGAGTTTCTAAATCACGTAGAAAGCGGTCTCCGAGATCATTATGACATCAAGATGTTAACCTACCTTATGACAGCGCGACTCGCGCAATTGTGTCCAACCGCAGTTTTGCAAAGTGAGTATTGCTCACGATTCACATATTACAATTGTTTATACCGATATTGATATTCAAATTGTTCTCATGTATGTTAGACAATTGGGAATGTATTTATTTAATTACATTTACTTTATTAGTATGTACACACACACTAATCTTAAATTTTAGTCCTTAAATGTTTATTACATTTATTATTGCAGGGTTGGAGAGATTGGTCGAACCACTGAAGAATACTTGCACCATGAAAGTAAAGGCAAACTCGGTGAAACAAGAATATGAGAAGCAAGATGAATTAAAGCGTTCCGCTCTAAGAGCTGTTGCGGCATTATTGACTATTCCCGATGCAGGTAAACAAAATTCTTGCAGAACTAGAAATGGAAATAATAAAAACTTATATTAATCAAGACTAATTAATATTTACACGATATAATTTGTATTTCAGATAAAAATCCATCATTGAGCGAATTTGTCGCTCAGATTAAGCTCGCGCCAGATCTGCAGCCACTCTTCGAGATAATACAAAAGGACTGCGCCGGCAGCAACATGAACGAAACAAACGCGATGGATCAAAGCTAAAAGTAATTAATTTCATTCTTTTTTGTATTTTATATAGATCGATATTGGGCAAGCGCATTCGTGATCATACTCTCTCTATAGTTTATTTCTATACATTTATTTTTTCATTATTATATACTCTCGACTCTTGAACGTAGCATATATGTGAATTATTGTAGCATGCAGTGTATAAATTTAAAATAAATTTCTCGGCAATAATCATTTTATCATTGTATATTATGCATTATTTTCTTTTTGTTTTTAGTAGACGAATCTCTGTGCGCGTATGCAATTATTTCGATAAACGGAATTCGATCATTCTCGACTGTTTGCATTTTGACGCAAGACAGAATTGGTAAAAAAAGAAAAAGAAAAAAAAAAAAACAACGCGAGGGAAAACGACGATCTCAGGACGCAGATGAAAAATAAAATCGCTTGTCATCTCTGAAACGCAAAAAAAAAAAAAAAAAAAAGCGTGCCGTTTAGAGCGCAATTCATACAATTTATGCATGTACATATTTGTAATGTCTCGTGTGCGTGACCCACTTAATCGCCGGCACTCGAAATAAATTTATCAACGAGACTTCTCGCGCACGCTTTCTCCTTGCGGGATTGTCTTTTATTAGCGTGCCGCCAGCGAAAAATATTAATTAACATCTATAGCCACTTAAATTGCAAGAGAGCACTATTATCCGCGATACATATAAAAAAGATTCAAAGATCGTCGAGACGATCAATGAAAACGATACTTTGTTGAGTTGGAGCAATGCGCGTGTAACTATAAATAGATAGTAATTGCAGACAATAACTTGCTCTCCATCGTTGACGGTGCCATCATGCTAAAACGTTTGCGGTCGACAGCCTCCACCACCGCTATGCAACAGCTGGCAGCTTGGCAGTGTCAAAAAACTGACAGATTGTCGCGTATTCAGAATATTCAGACAAATTTCTCCCAACTGTGTGTGCTTTAACACACACACACAGAGGGAGAACGATTTTAAGCTTCAAAAATTTTAATTGCGACATACAACAAAGCACTACGAAAATAGTTCAGTGATCATTGATTACGTAAATTATCATAAATTTCGCTTTTTTCTTTTTTTAAGTACTGTAGATTACTTATATTACAAGACCAATTTGAAACATTTGTTTGCGCGCTGTTACGTGCCGGATAGCGGCACGTAATAAGATAAAAAAAATATGCAAGATACTACTCTGTGAGGTGCTTTATTAAGGTGAGAGGTGGTGTTGCTCGTCTGAGCTGTGCGAACAAGAACTGAACTTGTCTTAAACTAAAAAACGTGCGAGCTATAGACCTTCGTTCCTAGGGCGTAATATTTGTCTTTTAGTGAGTCATAGATTTATGCAAACGAACAACGAAGGAATTTAGGGAGAGCGTTTGTAAGGAGAGGAAGTTCATCGGCCCGCGCGTATTTATTAGTTTATAATTTCGGCGGGTCGTATGTGTCAACGAAGGAAGTAGATAAAATCGTAAAACTTGAGCGGCGACAGGGATCGCGCGGACACGTAACAGCGCACATAAATCTCGCTAAGTCTAATATTAAGTCATTCTCGGATAAATATGACGTTTTGGCACGCTGCCAAAAGAGTGTCGCCGCATTCATCTTCGTTCGTAAAAAACATTACGTGCGCGACGAAATATATAGCGACGAAAAATTAAGATATAAATATTGTGCTTATAAAGGGTTATAGTCAAGACAAACATATGTCACGCAGTATAATATGTGCATTGTATTTTTTTAAGCAGATATTTTTATGTGTTTTCCTTTGAAATAAAACTGAGACCGTACGTCCGAATCTTGTTGCACGAAAACATTTGCATTTTTTTTTTTTTTATCATTTATATATCGAACTTAATTCTCTCATTTTTTTTTCTTTTCAAAGAGCCATTACCGTGTAAAGCGAGGCGCGTTTGATCGGCGTAAAACGCGCGTAGGTGCGAATTGTTATGCGTGCGCGCGCGCGCGTGTTAAGTGTCAATGCAACGCTCGAGTAACAACTATGCATCGCCGGCGTGCGTTAATCTCACACACACTTTTGCCTCGTTCTAAAAGTGTGCACGTATTCTCTCATCCGCGCGATTTATTTATTGCTTGTTTTCCAGCATCTCTCTGAGAATCTCTGTTTGCTTTTTCTCTCAGATAGAAAAGCAATTAGTGAATATAAACAACAGAGTAAATATCATTGACCGAGTTTAGCAATGACAAACTATCGTTATCAGTCGCGATAACTAACCGTATAAAGATCTATCGTAAAATTGTTGCACTTTTCTTATCATATTTCTTTTCCACATATAAAATTAATATAAATCTGTCGAGTGTTGTGTTGCGCGCGAGAGGATGCGACGGATATAAATTATCGCGAGATCCGTTATTCCGGTAAACAATGTGAGAGACACGTTTTCTACATAAACAAACGCTCATTTGTGACGCATCTATCGGACTTTATTTTGCCTTGATATTTTAGGGTAAATCAATAAGGAAAGAAAAAACAACGTGAATTTCGCTACCGGCGGGTCGAGGACCGAGTGTGCGAATTTTATTAATTTTAGCACGCGATGGGTATATGGCGTGACTCAGTTCAAGCGATTCGCAGATAAAAAAGCTTTTTCGGAGCAAAATGCCGCGGATATTATCAAGTTACATCGATCTCTCATCATTTCCCCGACCAAAAGCTATCAAAACTGAGATTTGTATCTCGGAATATATGTGCGACGCGTGTATGGAACGTTGCGTAATGCGTAACGAACGAGGCAATGCGGCTCTGTACTCCCGCGGGAGTAATTTAACAATAATTCTCATGATTGACACCGGAAAAGCCTTCACCAACTCTCACGCGAAAAACGTCTAAACCTCAAGAACACAATGGCACCTGAAATCGGGAATTCGGCGTAGCGCTACCCGTGTGTATTTTGAAACTAAAAAATAGTACCATGTTTTTTATACTTTCTTCTCAGACTCATCAAGCTTTTATTGTTGCGAGATTGTTTATAGTATGTTAAAAGTTATTTTATTATATAAACTCTGCTGTATATAACTTGTTATATCACAAAAAGTCGCACGCAAACACGCAACTCGACAGATATTTTACACGTAGAGAAATGAATATGAGAAGAAACGTGTATAGCCGCCGCATACAATCAATATTCGTATCAATTGACAATCAGAATTTGTTTACAACGCGCCAAATTAGGATGTAATGTAAAATATATATATATCTATATGTATTTTTTTCATTCTGATGCAACATGATAATTGGCGATAAATTATCGATATTTGTGAGTCATTTATTCGTCACATCTTCTACGAAACTTGTCGCGTTAGTTTTTTTTTTTTAAATAAATTTTGACTCACACGTGTCACTTTTTAATTTCTGATGAAATTAGTGAAACATATTTTTTTTTTTTTACCGTGCTCCGTTTGCGAAAGATATTTGCACGCGCAAAACCGCGACGAACAATTTATCACATTTGCAAAAAAGTATGCTCAAACTATTGACACTCGATCGTCAACGTTTTCTCACAATAATCTGCACGATCTGAATGGGGATCCATCACGTGTCATTTACATGCCGCTCGTGATTTTTTTCCGCTCATACACGACCGTCTTGTTTTACTTATTTGCGTAAATCGCCCGTTACGGCGCGTATTCTTTCTGCGTATAATTTTTTTTTTTTTTTTTTACATAACGTAAAATGTGATCCAAATACTCGATGTGTAATTGTACATCTACATACGTTTCGCTTGCGATTAAAGTTTGCAAAAAATAATGTGATAAAATATTTCAATAAGAAGCGACTTTTCTTCAACTCGTTCCCCTGATGATGTTTCTTCTTTGTATGATGTGTGCGAACAAACCATTTGCGTCAAAAACACAAACATAAAATTCGTACAGTCATCTCGGAAAGTCCATCAGGGGGATCCTTTTCAAGCATCTTCAAAGATCTCTTATTTCTGGGTAAAAAGAGTCTTGTCATCGTCGTTACCTCAATTCTTTCGCACGGCAGACCGCATAGGGTTGGTCACATCGGTACAGACAGGAGAGGAAGGAGGCGGCGGAGGAGTAAGATAAAAGCGGAGTGTAGCGGAGACGCGGCGCACACTCGATGGCAACAATCGGACAGAGAAAGAGGTGGAAATTTCTCGCTCCGTCCGCTCTTTCTCTTTTGGCTCCACGCGCACGTCACGCGACGTGCCCTGACGACGATCGGTTATTCTCGCAAGAGAGAACACAGTTGGTTATCGCGATTATCGAAAACGCGAACGGCCAGCGAACGAAGCGGGTTCGTCAAATCCATCTGCGCTTCAATTCAAAGCTCTCCCGAATCGGTGAGCGATAAAAGCGACGAGCGGAGATTGGTAACACGAGAGAACATCTGTGTCCGGACAAGAAGATCGACCGTCCTCTAGATAAAAGAGAGAAGCGTCTTCAGAAGCGCACTTTAGACGACAGACAAAGATCAGCAGATTAGCTGGAAAGGAGTTACTACTGGATTATTGTCGACACATCGGCAGCGGAGCGCCATGTGTGTACGCACGTTGGTTGGTAACGAGATGACGAGCGAACCGGTTGTCCGATCACCGTCCGAGTCGAAGCACAGCAACAGGTTGTCCCGTGCCAAGGAGAAGTACATGAAGCTCCACGACGAGATGCTGGAGAGAGAAGAGCTAACGCGCCGGCAACAGCGAGCGGAGAAATCGTTCTACCTGCCTGACCTGGCCGACGATGTTCTGGCTGCCAGCACGGTCCATTACAGCTTGTTACTGATGAAGCTGGCCAAGTACTACCAGATCGTTCGCCGTAGCAAAGCGTTCAAGTAAGTATAAGATCTAGTCACACTTACTGTCTTATAATTTTTCATTTCTTTTACAAAACTTCTTTAGAAAAGAGAGAGAGAAAGAGAGAGAGAGAGGGAGAGAGGACGAGTTTTTGAGGTCATAATATTTAAAATTTATTGTATAAAATATTTGATATTGTTCGGAAAATAACGTTTTCCAATAAGTGACATTATTGTAAATAATCACATATTCAAGAAACATGTACAAGAGACATCGCACAAATGTTAAAAACATCATTAAACAGCATCGTATGTAACAGAAGTTAAATTATATGAATCGGTAAGATAACTTTACAAAAAAAAAAATTTATTAAAAACTGCTACGTAACTTTTGGACAATCCAATATGTTAATTTGAAATACCATAATTCCAACAATTTATACTTTATATGTTTTATATATACAAAATATATTAATTTAAACAAGTTATATAAAAAGATCTCTTTTCATCTTATTGACAATATTCGCTTTGTTCCACCAGAGGCGACACTACGGCGACAAGTGTGAATTCTATGGGGTTAGATAGAGTGAGTTTGCGGAGATCGCGCAAGGTTGCAAGGTCTTTGCACTTACAAAGATTCTCACACACGTACACATTTCGCAGTTCGCAGATACAACTTCCTAGAAAATTCTTTTTGCGCTAGTACAATCTGTAAATTTATTACCAATTTTCTCATGCTGTTGGAAAGATCGTCGTTGAAGTGTCTATTGCGTGTAAGAGAAATTCTCACGCGCATGCAAGATTGTCTTTGGGAAATCTTGCATCAATCGTAGAATTGTTGCTACGCAATGTTACTGTACTTGTGCACATGCAATGTTCTCGCAAATGTTATGTTCCAGCTGAAGGCAAATTGCTTTGTCGTATAGCCGCCTGTGTTATTATATCCACTCATGATCTCGAAGCAACGCTCGCTCGTTTAGAAATATAATGATATCAAAAATATAATGAAATAAAAAAAATATATATATATTGATATCAAAATATAAAACACTTAATTAATATATATACGTATATATGTATATAATATAATATACGTACTATATACATATTAAATAAAAATATTTTTATACATTTTTTTCGATATATAATATTAACGCTTCGTGGTCAGACCCTTACAAATGACCTACGAGTTAGTCAGACCAGATCTGTGAGATCCACGCGACTTTAAGATCAAATATCTCTGCGAAAAATCAATGTTTTTTCAATTTTTTTTTTTTTTTTTTTTTTTTAATCGAAAGTTTGAACGATTCTGCGTCGATAAAAACCATTGAAAAAAAAAATTTCTAGTAGTTTCAAAGATACAAGCGTTAAAAAAAAAAACTAATTTTTTTCTAGAAACGTCGATGAGCAATTTCTGAGTGGGTCTGTGAGACCCACGTCTGACTACGAAGAAATCTAGATAATACATGTCGTATGTACCAATGTTTTAAAGGAGATCGATTATGTTACTAAGAAGACGCGTTTAAATTGTTTCCGTAGAAAAGTAATCGATAATTCATTGATTGAGAAAATCAAAATCACAACGACGCACAAACACAATTATTATTTGTATAAAACCTTAATGATAAAAAAACGTCTCGTGCATATCTCGGGGAACAAAGGTTTGTCGTGATGAAAAATCAAAGCGCATTACGCGATTTCGCGCAATAACAATGTTAATTTATTATTCGCGACGTTTCCGGCAAAAGAGTTAATTTTCTGAAGTTAAAAATGTAAATATTAAAAAAAAAAATGAATGAATATTTGAATCTAACGCGCATCTTTCGTATTTATTTCTGAAGCTTGAAAAGACAGAGAACCTCTCATCTTTGATTTTAGTTTTGAAACACAATTCGGTAGCTTCTAAAACAATGATGACATTTATTCGCGTACCGCGCCAATATATTATTTTGATGGCCACGAAACTTTGACGCACGATAGAGATCAATTATAAGTGAATTTTGATATCGAAGTGAGAAGAACAAACGATGATAAGAGCATTTCATTGATTTATTGAGATATAAGTATCGGTGTAATCTTTACAGAAATGTACTTATTAGTGTGTCAAAATAATATTTATTTTGAACATTAAAATCACTGTTGGACAGTACTTTTGTCCCACTCAAAATAAGTATCATTTTGGTCACACTAGCAACAAATTTCTATAAAGATTATATCTTTGAAATATAGTATACTTTAATAGTATATTTTACATATATATAATGGCAAAATTAATAGATTCTTATAAAAAATTATTACATATTTTATTTTTATACAAAATTATTATTTCAATTATTATTTTTTGTGAAAATATAGACAAAATGTGGTTTTATTATATGTGTGTGTTTTAATTTATTTATATTAGATTGTCTATGTGTGTGAAGATAAAAAATAAATGATGGGGACGTCTCGATGTTAATAGAATTATTTTTTACTTATTATTACCGACTATCAACCAATCCGCGGATCATAGGCGGATCAGAAAGTCTGTTTCAATTTGTTGAGTTAGATTTTATCTTTTTATAAGTACACACACGTATGCGCAAATATTAAGATTCTTATCTCAAAGGTATCCTTGGAGATGTTTTCTTCTAGTGACGCACGATCTTCGTCAAAATAGTCTTTGATGACGTTATGGTCGACGTACCAGTTTTCATCACGATCTTATCTTTTCGTGATATTTTTAGGAACAATTCTCTTTTGAATTTTAACAATCCGAATAAAAGACACTTTATCTGAATAAAAAACAGAAGAATGGAATACGATTTCGTAAAACTCGATATGAATGGAATAAATCATCGGCGCGCCGTCAATAGTTTCCTCGGGCATTAACACACGTGTCTATAATTAGTTGGGCGATTATTGAGTAATGATTACGTGTCTACGGCATGTCTCGTGCGAAGCGCAGGCCGATGACTGTGTTTACCGTACAATCACGTGTTTCTTCGGAAAAAAAGAGAAAAAGACAGTCATAACCGTGTGCTGTGCAATTTTCGCGCAAGACGCGCGACTGACAAACACACGCACGTAAAAAACATCCGACACTTTGCAAAAATTCCAAATTTCAAAATCGAGATTTTTATTCCGCGTTTTTTTACGACGTCAAGTTAGATATATAATTTTTCGTACATTTTTTTCGGATGAAAAATATTTTACAAAATATATTTAAAAAATATTCTATTGTTTCGTAAAAAATAAGAAATATAACAAATATGATTAGTGATTTAATGTGTTTATCTCACAACGTTAAATTAAATGTCGCAAATTGAACTTCTCGTCAAGTGTTCATTAATATTGCATTACATCTTGTAAATATGCGCGGTAATATGCGCATTTTCGCGCCAAAAGTGTCGATAATTTTTGTTTGCACGAGCCTAATGAAAGATAATGGGCTTTCTCGCGCCGAAATCGCACGTATACGTGCGCATTCTCCGATCGCACGCACACACACACACACACTCCCGTAACAAGCATTCCAATAAAAAGGGTATAATTACATACTTTGGCCGGTCCGGAGCGACCGCAAAAACTCGTTTGCAACACAAAGGCGTAAGATGCCGCGTTATCTTGTCTTTTTATTAAGCGGCCTCTCTCTATAGTTCCTAAATCAATCATCCGTAAGTCATTCCGAAAGTGCATCGCGTCGAATTGGCCGATCGTTTTTTCTTCAATCAAATTGCTTTTGCAAATTGTTACACGCCAACTACTTAATGAACGCCTTTTATAATCGGACCGCGTCGTTCGTATTTTTTCGTGACGTGAATATTTTTTGCGCATTATCACACAAAGATACGATATACTATTGTGTAGATATTAAGTATTACAAGTAATCCTTGAACTCTCTCATTTCCGCGATATGATTTAGTTATTAAATTTCGGTATAATTATTATCGTGATTTATTTTTTTTTTAAATAGAAATTATTTGTTCTCTCTCTCTCTCTCGAGAGAGAAGAATGTCCCGAAAACTCACGTATCACGTGCAAGTCTCGAAACGTGTCTTTTTATAGAAACTTTGTTTCGCAAACGTGACGAGTTCAGAACAGGAACTTTGCGCCGAGAGACATTCCAGATACACATCTCTCGCTGTCCTACTACCTGCCACATCGCATATGCGACTGGCAATCAGCCACATTTAGGAGTCTCGCGCGTCTCTTCAAAAAAATTCACAAACGAGGCGTGACTAAACGATCATGTGCTCGCTTCGTCGCTTCATTTCTTTTGGTCTCGTGACCAAAGAGTTTTCCTTGGAAAATCGCCACGGAATGTACATTTTTAAAGAATTTCTATTCTTATTTCTCTCGGCTCATCTTTTTTATAATATTTGCGAGATTCTTGTCCACAAGATTATCTTATAATTTTCGTTTCACGCGTTAATCCTTTGTTTGTTACGTACATGTGTGCGTTACATGATGACGAAATTGCTCGACGAAATACTTTTTTTTTGTTTTTTTATTGATCCATTAAGTTATCGGAAACCTACGGAGAAAAACGGTATATTTAAACCTGTCACTCGTTAACAGGTTCACATTGAAACAGGCCGAGAATAATAAGGCGGTGTCTCGTCGACGACAAACAGAGAACGACCGGATGCGTATAATGAAGATTCGGTCGGGTATCGCTTCACGTCGTTAACAAAATTGACGAGAAACGATTTTGCGACAAGCATATTGTGCGGGCCGCGATCTAAAGCGATCGGTCGTGCGTGCCATCTCGCACGTTTCCCGTTGCCACTTGATAATGCTAGGCTCACCGCAGTACACCTACACGTACGTACGTATACGCTCAATACACGCGCAGGTGAACGCTTGTCACGTTCGCACGTCGAATTACGGCCGTGTATCCGGAGCTAATCACCGGTTTCCTTTCACGGATCTTGTTGTCGCGCAGAGTGCACGATATAATTTTACACGAGACAAAAACCTCAATCTCTGACCGACACAATTGAAAAACTTTGAGAGATTAAGATCGAAATAATTGAAATAAAAAGAATCTAATTCGCGGGCTGTAAAATTAAATATTAAAAAAAAAACACTTCTGCTTAATAAAATAGACGTGAAAAAAAGAGATATTCTAATGCAAAAAATTCTAATGCGTTTATATAACTTAAAAAAAAACTAATAAAAACCATTATTTAACTTACAGAAGATCGCGATAAAAATTTTGTTTGTAACGGAAGTTCATTGTAATTGCAAAGTAAAAAATTCACATTTTGTTTGTAACGGAAGTCCATTGTAATTTCGAAGTGAGAAATTACGTTTATTTGTCGCTGTATAAATTTTCACGATCGGCAAAAACAAATCGCAGTAATCTTGTGCGTGTGCAAATCCCGTACATCCATTTCGTCATTGCCTCGAGAATGCAACGGACGCGTCGTCCATTGACCGATGCGAAAATAGCACATGGTGAAATCTAAAGAGATAAAAATATATTACGTTCCATCGACGAGATGGACATAGGTGTGTGACGCAAAATAGTCGGCAAAAATATTTCTTTCTTTTTTTTTTTTTGCATGTGTCTCGTATCGAATTCTGATTTCGCGCGCTGTTGGACGAAATTTACGAATAAAAACCGTCTGATTGTCGCCGACTTCTGGCTGACCTCGTCGCGATTAATTGACACTCCAAAGATCAAACGCGATCACGATCGATGCGTGATCATTGTCGCAGATGTTTCTTATTGAAGCGGTATACGAGCGCTGTGCACTCGTTTACCATGAAACAATTCTCTCTCTCTCTCTCTCTCTCTTTTTCTGCAATTATACTTCTCATAAAAAGCTTTCATATTCGCGAACGTAAAATTAGTCCAAGGTTGAAAGAGCATCTCATAGATATACGACGATACAACTTTATTTGTGTTTAACGAGAGAGAATTACGTTTGGGAAGGAATCTTATGTGACTCTCCGCTCTCTTGTATCACGCGGATCATACGGAGCCAATCGCACGAAAATGTCAAAAGTATTATAATTATTGACTCGAGACACTTATAGCGATATCAACATGTGTCGAAAAGTTCGCAAATTTTGATTTGTTCGTTCACTTTATGACGTAATATTAAAACTAAGAGCGCAGATGGTGTCAGAAGTAGAGATACGGAAATCATTTAATATGCTCATTGTAGCTGATAAACAATCAAGGAATATTAAATGAGAGAGCGATAATTCCATTCGTTAAATTGAATCATTCCACGCTTCGCACCCGAATCAGATCACGTGTGCGACTGTCTGCAACGACGGCAATTCTCAAGACACTTTGCACTTTGTAAAATGATAAAATAATCTTCAATGTACACAAAATATTCCGTTTTGTGAGTACATACAAAATACACATGTAGGATAAAAGAGATAGGAGACTTATCAGAATGTATCTCGCGCTCGCGTATAAAAAAAAAAAAAAAAAAACCGCACCGCAGTGCTTTCAACTTGTTAAAAAGAGAAAAAAGCAACAGGATGGCATGTTAAAAAGATGTTCGACCAGTATCCGACGCTATATTGCTCGTAAACTACGTGTGTGACATTTCGGAGAATTTCGAAGAAGGGTCACTGCACGTGTACACATATACGTGCACGTGTAGCACGTATTTGCGTATGTGTGGGAATTATTTCTTGCAAATATTCTCTCTCTCTCTCGCTTCCTTAACACGCTGCAGGCAGCATGCGCTTCAATGCGCAAGGAAGCGGTTCTTGACATTTTTTTTTGTTCAACAAATTTATCACATCTCCGGATTACATGATAATGTTAATATATTCGCGCAGTTTTTTTTATATTGTTTGTTAATATTATTATTATGTATTACATTATGAAATTATCACACGTAATATTCTTGAACTCAATTCAGAGAACGAGGTAATCTATGTCAACATTAGTCATGATTGCTAGCATGACAGCTTGGCAACTAGAGCGTTTCCAAACGCTTTCAACCTTGTTAAATTTATTTGACTTTGACACACCCAGATTCGCGTCGAGATTTGACGCGTCGCAAATTATCTGACCGAAAAAAGATGCGAGGGACAGAAATTTGACCCGCTCGGTTATCGTTGACCGCTGACATTTTATCTTGTGAATTATCAAATTAATTTACTTGTTTGAGATGGTGACAAGAAGAAGAGATGAGAAGAGAAAAGATGAAACTCGAGAAATGTCAAAATTTAAATTTTCTAAACGTATGCAATTTCAATTGATGATATATCTCTGATGATACATTTAATTAACTTCATTTACATTTGTTTATATTGCGTTATATTATGTCAAAAAACATTTTTTGACATAATATGTTAGATAATTTTTGTCAAAAAAGGTTTTTGAAGAGAAAACTAAACACCTCACTGTCACAAATCTAAAATCTTTAAAAAATTCTTAAAATAATTAAGTTTAATTTAAATTAAGTAAATAAAAGATTTCTCAGAATCACAATTTAGGAGATATTAAATCGCGGTACTTATTATTATTATTATTTTTTGCAGAATTCTGTTTTACACTGCACAGCCCGCTCACGTAATCATGATCGCGTCGGTCTTGTTTGTTACATCGTTTCTTGTGCCGATGAAAGAGAGGGTGCAGGTTTCTGGCCATCTCACTTCAAGGACGACATCCTTTATTTATCTCGCGTCCTTCGTCATACACTTTGGCGCTCAAATTTGGATGACTTTTGTATCAGGTAATAAATAAAGTGTCATCGAAATAAAGTGTCGGATATATTATTTATTTTGGCTGTGTAATTAACTTTCTCTTTAATAATATTGCGTAATCTACTCTTTTGCAGGTTTATCTTTATATTTCGCATTGCCACGGCACGCGTTTGGTGAGGTCCAGCGCGTTCTGTTCCCAAGATATTTTACGATAAACGCGTGTTTGAGTCTTATCACGCTCCTCATATTTGTCAAGCATCATCCAACAAACACGTGGGACACGGAGATCGCTACTCAAGTACGTAAAAATAATATCTGAAAAAATATAACATTAAAAAATTACAATATTTAACTTGATAAAATATCTGAAATGTATCTTTTCACTTCTATTTTTTTGTATGTGTTGTGATCTTTTTATTTTTTACAAATCTAATAAAAATATACTTTATGTATATTGCGCAGGTCATTGCGATGTCCGGAGCCTTCTTCTTGGAGTTGCTGATACGTCTTTATCTGACACCTCCGCTTTTGCGGCTCATCGTACAGAAGAATAACTTGGAACGCGCGGCAGGTGTCGGCAACGAAATCGGTCGTCACAATCCCGGACCGCTGAAGAACTGTCCGCATTATCTGAAGATCCATCAAGCGTTCCGTCGGGTACATGTGTGCATCGCCATGGGAAACATGCTCACCATGGCGTGTACAGTTCTTCACCTTCACTACATAGCAAGTAAATTATGTGTTCTGTAAAAAAAAAACTAATCGAACTCTTCGATTGAAAAATCTGTATACTCATTTGCTTGAGAACTCGAAGAAGTCCTCGGGAAGGACGTAAGTTTGAATTTGCAAAAAAAAATGCTATTTATATTATAATTAAATTGTCTGAAGAAACAAGCGCGTGTCTTGTACGAAGATAACAAGTCTGAACGCATCGGAGAATTCCGATACATAGCAAAATGCGATTTTTCCTGTCATTAAAAAAAAGTCACTTGGAACAAGTTGGTAACAAGTTACGCAACTGCCTTGAAGCTTAAATCTCGAGGAATAATTATCGAGATGGAAGATCTTCAATGTTCTGACTACTAGTAATTTTTACTCTGAGCTTATTCTATATTAAAGTAGAGTAAAACACTCAGTAAAAATATATGTACTTCGTTCGCATGACACAAGTCGCGTAGTGACTTATTTTCGGAGCATTATTATTTAAACTCGTGAAGAAAATCAAGTCGAGATGAAAAGGAAACGTTTGTCAAAAAACTTTTCTCGCAACTACGATCTGCCAATAAATCGTAATTAGTAATGTTGTGTAGATTATTATTGTTGAAATTGCGCAGTGCGAAACTGCGTGCATATAACTTGTACGAGTGTCTCAAGAATGAGCGGACATATAATTTGTTCATCGATATGAGAAAAAAATTGATGTATTTAAATAAACGCGAAATAGAGATGTTGATTTAGGACAAATTTATGTAGATATTCTAAGGACATTGGTATATACTATATATATATATAGGTATATATATATAAATGTGTTATATATGTGTATTAATGTCTAGCTTTAAGGCACAATTTCTTGCCAAAGCGAATTTCTTTTGCTGACATGACGACAAATTAATAAACGCCATGTTAAAACACTTTGTGGTAAATAAAAAAATATTTTCTCGATCTACGGCTAAAACCGTAGTTTGCTGGATTTCAAGATTTAACGCATCTCGGCTTCTCGTGTGATTATAAACAGATCGCCCCGCTACATTCTATAGAAATAATAAAAATATAATTACTCTGTATCAGAGTTGGTGATATTTATTGAACTAAAATAAGAGAGAAAGACTCTTGTATAAAAAAAAAAAAAAAAAAAAAAAAAAAAAGATACATATATGTTCCAACGTCAGAAGAAGATGAAAGGAAGTTGACGCTATTGTTTTTTTTTTGTATTAATCGATTGAATTGTGGACTCATACACACACATGGTATATATCATTAATGTAAATAACTTCGTTCGCTTACATCTATGTAAATCACCGATATCGTATGTAACAATATATATGTATGTTGTTTTTATAAATCTTAGTAATTATTAATACACCTTTCCAGAACTGATAAATTACTACTCGAATATTTCTATTCTATATCATTCATTCTATAATATTATATTGTCAATGAATATTACGGAGTGTTTAACATAAATGTGTTAATTAAGTAGAGAGTTTGACATCAATGCTAATGACGATATTATCGCCAAAGTACATAATGCATTTATAAAATGTAGAGCGTTACCAAATAACACCTATTTTATATATATATATATACATAACTTACATGTATATATATATATATATATAAAGCGCATTTGTACACGTAAAAAAGTATACAGTAAGTAATCAAATAATATACAATTATATTGTAACAATTAATTTTTATGCTAAAATTTACCATTAATTGTTGTCACTAATGCTCGCAAAATTGTTTCTCAATGTTTACTATTTTTAACTCTTAACTCTTTGAAGCGTATAATTTTTCTATAAATGAATTTTTGTGAATATTTGTATTTGTAATTATGTTTTTTGGATCGCTGTTATAATTACACGTAGTTATAGTTACATGTAACAAAAACGCTAAAAAAAAAAACAAGAATAAAATAATAAAATAATAAGAGATGAGAGACAAGTACGGTTCCATTGCGCCTCAAAGAGTTGAAGACAGACTAAATAAAAAAAACATCTACTTACTTACTGATAATTTAAGTATCCGAATGTATCGTAGAGAAATATCGAATCGTAGAGATAATATTTCTATAAACATATGTACACATTTTCTTACACATTACGAGACAACTGTCACTTATAACTATTCTTTTCGTTCAGAATTCATGATCAATTATGAAGAAAATGAATGACAGAAATATTTGTTTAAATATTTCTCTAGAAAATGTTCTACGCGAAAGAAAACTTTTCTTTTACACTCGGAGTATCTCAGCCGCTTTGTTGTAACAGATAGCAATCCAGTCGGGCTGCGTGGCGCCCCATTGAATCTGATTGACCTCGCCTTCCGCGGCGGTGTAAGCGAGTATGGGATCTTCTATCGCTCTAGGCATTTGTTGTATATCCCAGATTAAAGCTTGATGATCGTCACCGGCTGTGCAAATGTGACAGGACGAATGCGGAGCCCAAGCTATACCGTTAACACTGGCTCTGTAATCATTAATCAAAGAAATTCTTGAATACAGACAGTATACAGCTAAGAAAATATTACTATGCTAAAATATCAAGTCTCATATAAACGCATAAATATAATAATATATAAGCTTGGTACATATAAAAAAGATAATTAAATAATTTTATTATTAACCTGTGATTATTTAGTCTTGCGACTGGCGTGCAAGGTACACGAACGTCCAAAATAATGACCTCGCATGCATCCATCGCCACTGTAGCAAGATAGTTGGGATCTTGCTTGTTCCACGCCAATCGCAACAACGGAGTGTGCTGTGGATCCTCGTAAATTATTGTCGAATGTTCTAAATGTCGTAAATCAAACATCCTCACGGAACCATCGGCTCCCACAGACGCAAACATGTCCCGGCCACCGCCAGCACGACTAAACGCAATGTCATACACTTCTTTGTCATGTGCAATCAGTTGTGTCTTCACATGACCAGTAACCATGTTTACTCTACCCAACACCTGTCCAGTTTCCAATCCCCAGATCGTGCAGGTTGTATCAATGCTGGAAGTACCGATTAAATTTGGATCCACCTCGTTCCAGTCAAACGACGTGAGTGGAGCGCAAAAATCTGAATTCTTATTATTATTCAGAACACATTCCAAACGAGTCTCCGGCTCCGCAGCACGCCAAACTCTCAGATAATCGCCCGATGTAGCAAGGAGATCAGGAAACATGCCTAATAAATATTTATTTAACCAGTAGAAAACACACATGCAAAGAATATAAAGTAGAAAAGTAAATTATATTTGCAAAGAATAAAAGAATTAAAATTCTGATGAATATCAAATACCTTTGCTGTCTGGTATCCACATGATTTTAGTTGTGGGATACGGATGATCAAAAGTACTTTTAGCACTGAACTCAGAAGTTTCTTCATCCAGAGATACAATTTGTACTTTGTTGTTATACTCTTCGACAAAGCTACCCAGTGCTAAACGAAATCTTTTGTCAGGTCTTACCGACCAGTTCATGCTATATAAAGGCCATGGAGCCTCATACTTGTAAATTTCCTTTCGTTTAGGTGGTACAGTGTGCATAGCCATGATTGAACTCCAATGTTCTAATCTCTATTGTTCTAAAGATACAATTGTTCAGTAAGAATTAAGAAATTCCAGTAAGAAACTTCACAATAATCTTCTTTCATTAAAATAAAACGTAAAATACAGATGTAACAAAATGTATTTGAGTTTGTCAACTAACCTTATCTTATGTCACAGTGGTATGGTTAAAATAGCACTTTGCTTTCTAAATCTTAAAATGTGGCGATCATAGTATTGTTACGAAAACAAACTTTACGTCCTGCGAATAAACAAAAAATGGACATTTATCCAAAGTTTATTTGTATATTTCAAAGTGCGACGGCACACATTTGATAAAACATGAAATGGCGTTTCTTTAAATCTCGCACAACAGAAAGATAAATCTCGAAATCTCTTTCAATTCTATCTTCGGAATCAATGAAACAATCTTTTGAACGCAATCTCATTAAAAATTTATTAAATACTTTGCTCACAATTACAACGTTGCAATAACAGCTGATAAAAGAGTAACACGCGCCATTTAAATTTAAGAAGAGTAACGTGTGTATGTATGTATCATAATAACAAAGATGTTTCTTATTATTCTCGCCAGATGGCGCGTAAGTAAGAACCACATTGTCCGGCACAACATCGGCGTAACTCGAATGACAGATACACATTGATGCGAGAGTATTTATTTTCAAAAGTCTGCGAAAATCAAGACCTACAATTTAATTTATTATGGCTGGAGAAGTGGTTGTCGACGCGTTGCCATATATTGATCAAGGATATGACGAACCTGGCGTTAGAGAAGCTGTACGTATAAATTTAGAATTTATGTTAAAAAATATATACGCTAGGTTATATTTGCATGGATATGGATTTGGTTTACAAATTTCGCTGGCGGTCGGCGACAAAATCGCAATATCTCACAACCAAATTGTTTGCTGGGTGTGAGAATCAAATGTCTTGTTTTTGTATATTTTGAAGTTTTATGTTTTTCAGGCGTTGGCGATGGTAGAGGAAGAGACACGTCGTTACAGACCGACAAAGAATTATTTAGAACATCTATCACCTCTTAATATAACCGCATTTGAAACAGAAGTTATGAAACATGAATTCGAGAGAATGCAGAATCGTTTGCCAATGGAGGTGCTTAGTATGAAGCGTTACGAGTTACCACCACCTCCTTCTGGCAAGTTGAACGATTTAGCTGCGTGGAACGAGAGTGTGGAAAACAGCAGCGCACAATTAGAGCATCAGGCTACTCGGTAAGTTTTGATGATGCAGTTCTTTTTTTTTTTTTTTTTTTTTTAATATTATTTTTTATATCTGTGCAATTTCAGAATCTGTAACTTGGAACTGATGATGGAATTTGGCTGTGAAGCTTGGAAATCTTACCTGGAAGTGTTGGTTCAGCTAGTAGGACAGGCTCAGAAACAGCTGCAAACGTTGAGGAAAAAGATTCAAGAAGTTAACTGGCAAAGAAAGTCAATGCAGACACAAGGAGGTGACAAACTGAGAGCTCTAGAAGCGCAATGGGTCGGTTTGGTTTCTAAAAATTACGAGATCGAACAAGCTTGTGTACACTTGGAAGAGGAAATACAGAAAGTAATAATAAACAAGGAAGCTGTGGAGATCAATGATGTGCCAGGCGAAGAGGGACCTGATGTGCCGGAAAAAAGTGCCACAGACTCTATGGCGTTACAGATGCAGCAGCAGGAAAATCCAGACACTTAATAATAAAATTATTACATGTAATATATTAAGGATTGATTATAAATAATATAATGTGATGATTGATGATAAATTATGTAATGTTAAATTTTTGTGTGTATGACTGTAAAATTAACCCTTCGTCCGTAGACCAGGTCTTCTAGACCCACTCAAAAATCGACATTTCTAGAAAAAGTAAGTTTTTTTTAAAACGCTTATATCTTTGAAACTACTGAGATTTTTTCAATCTGTTTTTTTTTTTATCGACGCGGAATCGTTCAAACTTTCGACTCAGAAAAGAAGAAATTAAACAAATATTGATTTTTCGCAAAAATATTCGATCTTAAAGTTGCCTCACAAGACTCAGTCTACAGTTCTTGTAGGTTTGTTTTAGATCCACAGTCGAAGGATTAAAATTTATATGTAAAAATGTGTAAAACAATTTGTATTTATCACGACAGATAGAAGCATCGTGGTCATTCCCATAATAAAGCAATTTATTTCACTGTAATTTATATGTATCACACTTGGTTTAATGCTTCTATAATATACATATGTACACGCGGGTTATCACTGTTGTAATCGATAGCGCGATATATGCTACGAATTAACAAATTATTTATAATTTTACGACGTGCTGGAGGATTTGTTTTTTTTTTTTTTTTAGATAGGCTGCTTGCGTTTTGTGTATCTGACATATTACACATATTGCACACATTGCATAGGCCTATATAGCTCTGAATCAATGTCTTTTTAAATTCTCATTAGGACAGCGGCACTATATACCATGATATAATTACAAAAGCGAGTAGCTAAGCGGTTTTTTTTACTTTCGGCCAACTATTCGGTGTACAAAAATACGTGAGTTTTCAATCTCCTTTTTGCACAATTTCGCTCTTTCGTGACGAAAAATTAAAAAAAAAAAAAAAAAAAAACCATATTACGGTAATTAAATCATCAAGCTTGAGAATTGTGCCTTTTTTTTGCCACTTAATCACTCGACTGTCATAATGACGTTTCGCTGGCTCCCGAACTTTGAGACTGAAGTGCTATGCTCCCTTTGTAGCCCATTGATTCCTCTTCCAACAGAGCTATTCGTTGTTTCAATGTTTTTACCTGCAAGTAAACAAAGAAAATATGATTAAAATATGGACTATATGTAAATTTTATAAAAAAAAAAAGAAAAATGTATGTTTTGTTATTAGTTGTAAATTGTTCAGATTTTGATCATTGTATATATCAAGTGTGCTACATGTGTATATGTGACACACATATTGGGTAGCGTGAACTCGCGCATGCGCATCGGAAACAATCCAATATGGCGACAGCAACCTAGCAATTCTCGGACAAGAGATTTCGGAAAGACGAATTTGGAAATTTCAATCTTTAATGAAACTCATAATCAAAACGTTCACTAAACTCATCAACAAAGTACCGGGAAAGCGAATATTCGGCGAGTTTCGATTTCTACCGATATTTTTTATTTTGGGAGCCACTTTGGAATATTCCATGATCCACTGGCATGTCGGAGAGGTTAACTTCTACAAGACATACAAGCGTCGAAGGGTGGAGGAATTAGTGGAGAAGAGATTACAAGAGGAACTAGAACAGCAAGCGAAGAGTTAGAATTTTGTGTGCCGAGATAGTGCGCAATGGTATCTCGAACGCGGTACGTCATATTTTGTGCATCAGCGTTGCTCACGATGCTGATGGGTTCGCAGTGGGTTCACAAAATGTACAGACCGCTCGACGATCTGGAAGATCTCGTCGAGGAAAAATTGAAGGAGAGACGGAATGAGCTACAGAAGAAGCAATTATCGTAGAAGAATGTATTTAGTGTAATAAATTATTTGTGTATAACAAATTATAATAAACTTGTTTTTTTACAGATGCCTAATAGTGACTATAAAGCTGATACTTCACCTAGACTTAATCATACCTGCGCGGCATGCCTCTCTACCATTCCCAGCATCTGCTGCTCCAGCTTCTTCAGCCTAGACTGATATTTCTTCTTGGATTTTTCCAGAGTTTGAACCAAGGCTCTATAAGAAAAATAAAAATTTACTTATGAAAAAAAAACAAAACAAAAAAAAAAACAAAAAACAAGTGCGAGTGTTTTAATAATCACCCATTAGCTCTTTTCAAGTCATTGACGAGTTCAGCCGATTGTTGATGCCTGAGTTCGGAATTCTTGTTAACTTCATCCAAAGTCGAGATCAATTCCTGCAGGCGTTCCTTCAGTCTTGCTTCTCTACCCAGCGCTTCGATCAGTTCGGACTCCATTCCTTCGCTCTCATTGTCGCTCAAACCTCGGTCCTGGAAATGCTTTTAGTTACATACCATGATATTTAAGGCAAAATAATTTTTAAGATTCTTCGCATGCAATACCTTGTTTGTCGCCATCGCTAGCATAGCTTCCGCGTCACTCAGCTGACCCTGAAGATGCTGTATGGTGGCATGCTGGGCTGCAATCTGCGTGTCCCGTGCATTCAATTTCAATTCTATGGTAGCGCGTTCTTTCTCCAATAGAAACACTCTGGCGCGCAACTCAGCCTTATCTTCTCGCATGGCCATCAGTTCCTAAAAAAAAAAAAAAATCAATTTCCAATTTCTTAAATTCTTCACGAAAAAGAATTTTCCGAAATTTTTCCAATTTTTCCATTAAATTTTCTTCGATGTTTTACTTTTGTTCTCTTAGTTTTTTTGTTTTATTTATATTGTATTTCTCTATTCTCTTCTCGAATATTCTCAAAGCTTTCGTTTGGCTGAACACTAACTTGCATGAGCACAGCGGTTTCCAAATCGAGTTTCCTAGCTTCCGCCAAGGATATGGTGGTCTTCGAGTTCAACGGTTCCGCGTGCACGCTCTCGAGCTCGACCGCCGTCGACCTGACCATCGCACGTTCTCCCTTCAATCTGCTGATGTGTCTCCGGAGTCGTTGCTCGTCCTCTACATTCCACGTTACTTCCGATCTACCAAAAAAAAAACAAGTAACATATCAAAATTTATACACATCAATATATACAACAATATAAAATACATACTCGTCCGATAAGACCATGCTGTCCTCCCAGGGAGCACCCAGCGTGTTTGAACAATCGTTCTCGAGTCTGTTCAGAACGTGATACGCGACATTCTCAGCTGCTCTTCTGTTATCAATCGTCACGCTGTTTCTCTCGGTGGAAAGCGCGATTTCGCTCTCCAGTAATGCGACTAGAACATCGTAAGCTTCGATGGCGCGATCGCTGTACGAAAGCGCGAGTCGCAACGCAGTCGCGTTGGATTCGTACTTGCCGACCAAAAGACTCAACCTGTCCAAAAAAAAAAAAAAAAAAATAAATAATCAGAGTTGCGCGAGTTGCGCTTGCGTGTCAATTTAATTTTACCTGTCGCATTGCGCTTTGCTCTCGTGCAACGTGAGAGCGAGAACCGCGTTGTTCGCTCGCGCGTGTTCGAGTCTGCTATTCAATCGCTCCGTCTCGACTTCGAACTGCTTTTCGGAACCGTTCAACTCCTGCAGATTCGACTGTTCCAGAAGATCCGACACGAGATGCTCGGCAACCATCGTGGAACATACCTGAAGTGCGTCAAAGCATAATTGCGAGATTGTCTCATGTGACAGTAGAGAGAGAGAGAGAGAGAGAGAGAGAGATGAAAAGAGAACAAATAAAATGAAAATTGTACCCCCAGATTAGTGATATCCGGACCGGTAATGTGTCTCTCGTCCGTCCTCCTCAATCTCACCCTCTCTGCCATTTTGAGAACCGGCGGTTCCTCCCTCGTCACGTTCTTCGTCGGCGGCGTCTGTAGTGGTGGTAAAAGCGGCGAGCACGGCGCTGTCAAAGGCTCCGGCGAGCTAGCGTTGCCCCTTGTCTGCGGGAAGAAGAGGCGATTTGTGAAGGAATATAAAGTAGGGGACAAACGAGAGGGATTAATACATTTTATTCGCGTCTCTTTGTCCATTTAATCTTATTATTTACATCGTATTAATATATTTTTTTTATTTTTACATTTTATTTTTATTTCAAATGTGTATATATACAGGGTGTCCCAGAATTGCCGTACAATCTGTCGTAGGCAGGTAGAAGAAGTAAAACTGAGTCGAAAAGTCCTGAACCATTTTTTTCTATTATTTATAATAAAGGAGTAATTATTGAGTAAATCAGGCCAATCA